GCTCTTCCGATCTATTTTGGTTACTTGGTTTTAATTCTCAGCATTCAACCAAGGCTGATATCAAATTCTGCAGCTGGAATGGCATTACAGTAATGTTATTGACATTTAAAAAATGTGCTTTGTTAGGGTATTCACAGTAGTACAGAAAGCACACAAAACTCTTGCTATCTAATACTTTGCATCTCATTGTGAAGCATTGTACAGTAATACAGAGGATATAGTATCAGATTTAGAGTACTCCCAGCTTTGAGCAGTGCAGAGTTATACTGCCAGCTCTACATTGCTCAAATAAATTGAGAAAAACCTACATTTTCAATATAGCAAGAATTGAGTGGGTTAGCTGGGTCTTCGCTAACACTAGGGAATTAATTTTGAATGAAGCAGACTGAGTCCTCCTTTGGTAGTGACTTGCTAGGATTTGGCAGTGATTTCAGTCTGATGTTCTATTGCTTGCTAAGTGTTAAGGGATGTTAGTAGTCATATTGTACCAAAGGAGAATATTACAGGCAGCCTGTTAATTTCAAATTGTATCCTCCGATAGCAGCAGGGGATTGCTGACCATTTTATAGATAATGTCCTGACTACATATTATTTTTAAACTATTTACGTTAGCCTTGAAATGATCAGCTTAACGTTGTATTCCACATATTGCAAGCTCCTTGAGCAAGGTGTTCAATGATGTTGTGTGCCTGTGACATTGCAAATCCTTGTAGTGTGGATTCAGTTTTCACTGTCGGCACTCATTGATCATCCAGAGTGCTATTCACAGTGAAATTAATTGTTTGGTAGTACCGAACTTGAGGCTTGGTGATAAAAGGCACATCTTGTCAAAGCTTTTCATCTTCAACTCATCAAGCCAAGTTCCAAGAATATGAATTCAAAGAAAAAACCATGCTGCTATCAATCATAATCACTTGTCAAGCAATTTCCTCTCATGCAGCATAAATGTTGATTTTGCACTTGAATTGGTTTTCTTTGAAATTGTCGTGAAGATGAAAATCTTTGACAAGATGTATCTTCTTTCAGCAAAAGTGAAATGAAGCATTATATAAAATTACAGTCCAAAATAAATGACACCGAAGTTCTCTCTTTGCATCTGAAGTTTTGAAGGAGAGTCCTATCAGACTTGAAATGTTAACTCTATTTCTCTCCATGGATGCTGTCAGACCAGCTGAGTTTCTCTAGCATTCTCTGGGTTTGTTTGTTTCAGAGTTCTAGCATTGATAGTATTTTGCTTTTATTCGCTGTGTATCTTGTTACTTATCTTCTGCCACTTTGTTCTCTATTTTAGTGGTATTGAGAGGGAGAGTGTAGCTTCGGTGAGAACAGTGGAGGTCAGAATACAGCAGGAGACAGCAGTGGGGTCAGGAATGGGCAGAGGAGAGAGCAGTGAGAGGTGGGAATGAGTAGAATAAATCTGTATTTTTAAGCATTGTCATACACTGCCTAAAGACAGAAAAAGCATAAATCAAATATAACGAGGAAAGAATCTAAGGATCGACGCAGGTGGTCTGAGAAATCAATAGATAAACCCAACTGATGTTGAATTTCTACTTTGCAGACCATACCTGGGAAGTCAAAGCTAACAACAGGAGTTATCACACTCAAATCAAGGAACATTTCTTCCTCTGCTTTAAGAAAAGGAAATATGCTGTAAGTTTCTTTCTCATCTTTGACAGGGAGTAGTCCGCAGTGATTACCTCAAGTCCAATAGTTCACATTAGCAAGTCTTTCCTGCTGAGTTAAAAACATAAATGCATCTTCAAGACGGAAACTTCCTTGGGATGTTCCTGGGGTTTCTGCTGCACTTACAGCAAATGTAAAGGGAGCAGCTTCAAGCAAATTCCTGTTCTATATTACTGTATTTATGCAGACATAAAGACTTTAAAACTATTCTTCTGTGTTTGACCTGCAGCAGTTCATAGAGTCATACAGATGTATAGCATGAAAACAGACCTTTCAGTTCAACTTGTCCATGCTGACTGGATATCCTAAATTGATCTAGTCTCATTTGCCAGCATTTGACCTAAATCCCTCTAAACCCTTCCTATTCATATACCCATTCAGAAGCCTTTCAAATGTTGTAACTGTACCAGCCTCTACCACCTCCTCGGGCAGTTCATTCAATACACACAACACCCTCTGGGTGAAAAAGTTGCCCTTTAGGTCCTTTTAAATCTTTCCCCTCTTACCTTTAAATGTATGCCCTCGAGTTTTGGACTCCCCTACCCTGGGGAAAATACTTTGACTATTTACCCTATCCATGCCTCCCATGATTTTATAAACCTCTTTATGGTCACCCCTCAACCTCTGATGCTCCAGGGAAAATAGCCCCAGCCTATTCAGCCTCTCTCTATAGCTCAAACACTCCAATCCTGGCTATATCCTTATAAATCTTTTCTGAACCCATTCAAGTTTCACACCATCTTTCCTATAGCAGGGAGACCAGAACTGAACATAGTATTCCAAAAGTGGCCTAACCAATGCCCCGTACAGCTGCAATATGACCTCCCAACTCCTATACTCAATGCACTGACCAGTAAAGGCAAGCGTACCAAACGCCTTCTTCACTATCCTATCTACCTGTGACTCTGTTTTCAAGGAAGTATGAATCTACACCCCAAAGTCTGTTTGTTTGTCAACACACCCAGGGCCTTACCATTAAGTGTATAAGTCCTGCCCTGGTTTGCTTACCAAAATGCAGCACCTCACGTTTATCTAAATTAAACTCCATCTGCTGCTCCTTGGCCCATTTGCCCTTCTGATCAAGGTCCCGTTTTACTCTGAGGTAACTTCGACGCTGTCCACTACACCTCCAACTTTGGAGTCATCTGCAAATTTACAAACCATACCTCCAATATTCACATCCAAATCATTTACATAAGTCACACAAAGCAGTGATTTATATTTGCCTTGACCAAATTTTCTTACACCTTGCTTTCAGTAAGGACTGCATTCCATTCTCTGAGTTTCTCTGTCTCCATTGCATCTTTTCCAATGATACCACTTTCCATTGGGATCCCTCAGATATGTTCTGCTTTTTCCTGAACTGAAGATTAGCCTAATTGTAGTTGACAAGGTCTTCAGCCTTATGCAACCCATTTCCCAGCACTTCTGCCCTCACCCCTTCCTTTCCAGATCTGCTGAGTTTCTCCATTACTTTCTGCTTTTATTATAGTAGACATCTGACTGACTCATAAGGCTAGCTGTAGACCAGAGGCTTCACTAGCCATGTGTACATTTGCTGCTTCTGTAGTTCAAATGCAACTTAAATCATGAAGCCTGATGTTTGGGCAAATCCTCATTCATCCTGATAGTGAATTTTGGACCTGTTAAAGCAAGCACCAAGAATGGACGTACAAACACATCAGATTGCACAGAACCTTCGATAAGATGCTTTATAAACCTAATAACTTCATACGTGACAACTGTATGGAATCAGTTATTTGAAAGATTAAAGGTTCCAGTTCTAATACTTTGTTTGTGGTCCTAATACATGGGTGAACAGAATCAATGGAAATTTACCTGGTTCACATTTCTAGCTAGAAACACCACTGTCCTCTGCGGTTACCCTCCGTGCCTCAGGATATTTTTCTGGATCGTGTTTCAAGTGTAGAATTAATGAGTACAGAATGACGTGACACGGTCAGGCTGCAGAAAAACTCTGCTTAGAGGTTTATTTACATTGTTATTAAAATCCTCTTACACGGATTAACTCCAAATTACCTACCAATTATAGCAGCATGTTGTTGAATTGTTGAACCTGAGTTTACTGTGACTGGCTTAGTGCACAGCAACGAAAGCTAGACTCCGCCATCTCACTTGTTCACCTGCACTGCAGTTCTACAGGCACTGGGAATTCTCTGGAACATGGATTCATTTTTCATGTGTGAGCCAGAACAAAGTTAGCAGGGGCCATACAAGCCTATCCCAGTCACCTAATATTCATGCTTTTGAATACTGTAAAAGTGGTCACTGGGTAGAGAACAGGAGGGACTGTCCTGGATGTTTACTTTTCTTCTGTTCTCCCTGACCTCAAAGACAATTGTAGCGTATGTACTGCCTGACAGTGAGAAGCTAATTTAGAACAGACTGGGGAGTGAACCGAGGACCCTCCTTGCTTATGACTCATCACATTGTCAGTGAACACGTTGACCCAATGACAGATTGGAGGAGCTGAAACCTAATGAAATAGAATTCCTGGTTTATTTATCAAAGTACTCATACCAAATACAATAGGACTGAAATGTTTAGTCCGCTGGTAAGATTGCAAGATAAAGGAGTGATAAACTGCTTGAATCTCCTTTGAATAAAGCTGATAAGTCCCCATTGAGAGAGTGACATTGATTATAGTTGTGGAGAAGTTTCCAGCTCAAACCGTTTCACACTATTTCCTGTTACAAAGGCATTCCTGACTTAACCAGGATAATACAGGATGCTATCTCATGGAAGTGATGAAGACCAGCTAGACAGCCAACAAGAAGCCTTTGCTGCCTTTTTTTCTGGGAGGTGCACCAAATGAAATGCCTCTGAGGATTAAGATCTCAAGGGCAGAAGTCCTACCTTCCAAGAGCTGCTGGCCAATCAGAGATCGGCACATCAGAAATGACACCCCCGCCACTAAACCCGCTGTTGGATAACCAATTTGGAGAAGGAGCATCGCGAAGGATCCAACATTTTGAGCCTTCCGCCCAAACCCAGATGGAGAATAAGCACAAATGAAGGAGAAAGCATGAGAAAACCGAGCATCCCGCTCCCCCCCACCCCCCACCCCCAACCACCACTAGCAACACCACCACCACTAGCTTCAGCAACCACCATTGGCTCCAGCTATGGTAGAGTTATTGGATCCAGTGTTGGACTGTTCAGTCACCTCAGTACCACAACACTGGGGTAGAAGAAAATCATTCTCAATCCCGAGGGACTGCCTAAGAAGAAGGGGTGATGCGGGTTGGTGACAAGGAGGGTTATATTTTCGGTGACTCCATTTTTTTAAGTTATTTTCTTTTCGTTTTCTTTACTAATTATAATATAGTTGTTGAGTGGCAAGTTCATTAAATCTGAAAGATAGTAAAGAAACAAAGGTTACAGAAAAGATGAATTCCTGAACAGCTACATAATCTTTGCTGGAGAGTTACTTAGACTAACAATAGTTCCTGAATATCAGCTGGAAAATAGCAGCAAAATGAACATTTTCCTTCAATTAATGGTGAAACAAATTACTATAAAATACGTACTGAACTTCTATTACAATCAACTTGCAATTTTCATTGTGATGTCTGTTTATTTCAGGGCAATGAAATTAAGACTTCGAAATACAACATTATTACCTTTCTACCTCGCAACCTGTTTGAACAGTTCCAGCGAATTGCTAATTTCTTCTACTTGCTTATTTGTATTCTCCAGGTAAGAGCAGTTTGACTGATCCTCTCTCTATAGGTTGGGTTTTGGCAATATTTCAAAGAGCTGTCAATTAAAACAACAAAGAAATTGTAATCCTTGTGCAAGTTCTCTTCTCTAGAATATGCTTCTATCAACCAAATTTAATCTAGGGTTAAGAATGGAAGGCAGTAAACACTGAGTACTGAGGTGGATGCAACTCATTGCTGATGAGGGTCAGAGGCAAAAGCCAATTCTAAAGTTTTGGTCAGGAGTAGAATAGGATGAATACTTTATGGGTTGAATCTTACCAATAGATTGGTTGTGGATTGGGAAGCGGGAAGGCTGGCACAATAGCACAGGTTGGATTGTGTGTTGATGTCTTCCTGCTGCCATTCCATATGCTATCAAAGGAAAAGGGGGCCCTTCCTCCCAGATCCTAACTGAGCCCCTTCCATAGTGAATTTAGGGCCTCTTCCAACCTCTGTTAGCATTCTACCAGAAGCAGGGATTCATTCGTGGCCTATGGACACCAGTCAGTGAAATCTGGCTGTCTACTGGCAAGCTCAGATCATGAGGGAATGGGGACCTCCTTTTTTTTTTAGCTTGTGGAGGAGCCCTTGATGGCAATCTCAGTTTAGTCCACTCAAAGCCATTAGCAATTCAAAATTCTGGAAAAGACAGCAGCTTTGATTCTGACATATGTATGTAAGGTTGGTGGGATTTTAGTCCGTAGATTGAAATGCAGGAGCAGTGTTTGCAAAGCACACATTTCTTTTTATTTCTCCATGAGATGTGGGCATTGCTGGGCATTTGTTGCCCATCACTAATTACCCTTGAACTGAATGGCTTATTAGGACTATTTCAGAGGAAGATTAAGAGTCAACCACATTGTTGCAGGCGTGGAGTCACGTGTGGATCAGAGCAGGTAAGGATCGTGAGATTTTCTTCCCTAAAGAACTTCAGTGAAGCAGAATTTTTTTTTAATAATAATCAATGATAATTTTATGATCAATACTCCTGATACTAGCTTTCCATTCCACACCTTATTAAGTACATTGTACTAGCTATTATGGTGAGATTTGAACCTGTGTTTCTTGAGCAGCAGCCTGCCCCTGTGGTTTACTTCTCCCGTGATGTTGCTACTGTGCCACAATTTCACTCAAATGAATTCAACCTCATCCTGGAATCCCAGCTACATTGTGATTAGCAGCTGGAGTGCAGTCTTGTCAATCCAGTGGGAGGCAGTCTTGGGAGAATAGATTGAGCAACTGGGAGGTGAACAGTCATTAAGATAGTCTCTGTTGGAATGGCTTTTCTGGGAAATCAGAGATTAGATTTTCAAAACAAAAGAGCTGAATTGCCTTATTAGGACAACGGCATTTTAAAGAACTTTTGTGACTCATTGCTCATTGACATCTGTGTTGGATGCTGAAAAATTCATAAGATTTGTCTTGGTTGTGTCTGCAATATAATGTTCAGTCAACCACAAACTAGCCATTAATTTATGTTCACCTCATACTACTTCTGGATATTAGAATACCAAAATAGGTATTGCTCCTTGCTTGCTGACTTTGTATGGTAAATGTTTTTTCTTTGATTAAACTGTGAAACTTTGTGGCTTTATTCTTTTAGTAACTAACTGATATTTCAAATTCCATCTCTATGAAACAAAAAATTAATTTTCTCTAGCTGTAGTGTAACTAGTTTGGAAGTTTTTTTGCAACTGAAACCAAATCTGGGGCTCTGGCCTGGAATCGTTACAATGTCCCTTTCATTACACAGGGCATCACAAAAGTGTTCGACAGTCAGTGATGTACTTTGGAAGAATAGAAAACACAACACCCAATTTGCGCAAAGAAAACTCTCACAAACAACAATGTTATGATGACCAATCTGTGTGATCTTGATTGAGGGACAAATATTGGCCAGGAAATTGGGAATAACTCTCTGGCAATGGGTTCATTTATCTCAATCCACAAAAATGGACTGGACCTCTTTATCATCTCATCTAAAAACAGCGACTCCCTCAATATTGCGCTGCAATGTCAGCCTTGTTTTATGCTAAGTCCTTGCTATATGTTTCAATTGTACTTTTCTTTTATGGAAGGTGTCTATCATTAGCTTGATCCTAGTTTTCCATATTTATTTGTATTAAATTATAGGCAGTTGGTTGATTCCACATTTTTTTCTTTCAAGTTCTGAAGAGATCAACCTGACACTTTATTCAAGCTTCACCTGTTCTAATGCTGTAGCTGTGAAAACAGAAGAAATAAGATCAGAAGTAGACCATTCAACCCTTCCATCTTGCTGCACCATTCAATGAGGTCATGGTTGACCTTCTTCTTCAACACCATTTTGCTACACTGTCCCAGTGTGTCTTGATGTTTTTATTGTAGAAATCTATCCGTCTCAGTCTTGAACATGCTCAACAACTGAGCCTCCACAGCTCTCTAGAGTAGAGAATTCCAAAGATTCATTGCCCTTTGATTTAAGAAATCCCTCATCATCTCCGTTCTAACTGGCCTGCCACTTATTCAGAGACTGTGTCCCCTGATTCTAGATGCTGCACCCAGGGGAGACATCCTATTCATATCTAACCTGTTATGCCCTGTAAGAATTTTGTATGCTTGAATGAAATCATCTCTCATTCTTCTAAATCCCAGAGAATATAGGCCGTATCTATTTAATCTTTCCTCAAAAGACAATCTTCCCAACCCAAGATTAGTTTAAATGTTTCCTCTGTGGCAAGTTTATCTTTCCATTGGTAAGGAGACCAAAACTGCATGCCGTACTCTAGATGTGGTCTCACCATGGCTTTATGTAATTGCAATAAAACATATTTACTGTTGTACCCAAATCCTGTTGTAATAAAAGCCAAAATATCATTCGCCTTCTTAATTGCTTGCTGTTAACCTTCAATGTTTATCAACAAGGACATTCAAATCCCTTTTAAGTACAACATTTCCCCACCTCTCAGCATTTCAGAAATAGTCTGTTTTTCTTACCAAGGTCCAACTGCTAGGTTTTTTTTTCTACCCAGTTAACCTTTCTGAATCCCTTTGAAGTAACTTTGCATCCTCCCCACAACTCACACTTCCACCTTGTCTTGTGTCATCTGCAAACTTGGAAATATTTCATTTTATCACCACACCAAAATCGTTGGTATAGATTATCAACAGCTGGTACCTTGTGGTACTCCACTAGTAGCAATCCTGCCCACCTGAAAATAAGTCATTTACTCCTATTCTCTGTTCCTGTGAACCAGTCTTCAATTGTTGTGGGTAAATTTCTATAAGCTACCTTTAATTCGGCAGCTTATTAAGAAATCTCCACAATCAAATACTGAAATAATTATTTAAAATTTATTGCATGTAGCAGCTAAAATAAGACCCCTCAAGTAAGCAAGTTAAGCCTCACAACTCAATTTGGCTATTACCCGATTAATGGTGGAATTTAGCTACAATTCCAGTGAACTGTGTCTGTCGCTGGATGTGTCCAGCATCCGTGAAGTGTTTTTCTCTGGAATTCTGCTCCCAAGGAATCCTGGAGTTGAATTCTTACACAAATTTCTCTCTTTCAAGTTTGTGGTGTGACATTAATGATGATCCTTTAGATTCTTTTATCAATAATATTGACTACTCCTTTGGAACCATCAAGTCTTTAGCTTGCCTTCTGATCAGAAGTAGCTTCTCTGTTCCTTGTTACATTTGGCATTGACTGTCTGTTTGAAGACACAGCTTTCCTGCAATTAACTCCTTAAATTCTTCTGCAGGGCAATGATTTGTCCTTGTGGTATAAAGCAGCCACTTACCAGGTAGTTGTTAAAACAGTTTTGTTTATGTAACTTCGATTTCTTCTTTTCCCAGGCATGGCTAATTGCTTTCAACTCCTGATTAACAGTTTGGCCTTGTTCCTGAACAGTTTATTCCAGGCAGAGTTATTGGTGCTTCTTTCAATGCACGAATAGTAATTAAAGTTTTGAAGTTTCGCCTCTCATACAAGCCAGTACACGTCTCCCAATCCCATGTGCTGTCATTTTGTTTACTAACCTCTAGTGTAGGATATTATCAAAACCCAGGGTGAAATGGTCACCTACAAGAGAGCATAGGTTCAAGGTGAGAGGGGGAAAGTTTAGGGGAGAAGTGTGGGGAAAATTTTTCACACAGTGGGTGGTGGGTGCCTGGAGCACTGCCAGTAGAGGTGGTGGAAGCAGGCAGGTTAGCTATGTCTAAGGCGTATCTTGATAGACACATGAATGGGAGGCTAACAGAGGGATAAGAATGCAAATAGTGGGTCTAAATAAGATGTGGAGGTGCTGGTGTTGGACTGGGGTGGACAAGGTCAAAAATCACATGACACTAGGTTATAGTCCAACAAGTTTATTTGAAGACACAAGCTTTCGGAGTCTCGCTCCTTCTTCAGGTGTCAGTGAGAGAGGTGGCATCAGACACAAAATTTATAAGCAAAAGATCATAGAACAAGTGTCATAGAACTGATGCAAATATATTGAACAAACCTGAGATAGCTGTTCAATCTTTAATCTGTTAGAAAGGATTAATATGCAAATCCCAGAATTTCCTTAAAGTCAATGCCCTGAGACAACTAAAGGTTTTATCAGTAAACCAGACATTTCAGGTCGGACAATGCATTTTAGGTATGAGGCCTTGTTTAAAATCTGGCTGTTTATTAACTTGGAGTCAGGCTGGTTTTATTTCCAAAGTAGGAATTCATGTACTGCCACTTTGTCTACAAATTACGTGCTTTTTGAACAAAATAGAATGTATCTGCAATTACAGTCAACCACATTGCTGTGGGTCTGGAGTCCCATGTAGGCCAGACTGGTAAGGATGGCAGTTTTCTAAAGGCTATTAGTGAATCAGATGGGTTTTTTTGGCCAACAATGGTTTCATGGTCATCATTAGGCTTTTAATTCTAAATTTTTTTAATTTAAATTCCACCATCTCTCATGGTAGGATTTGAACCTGAGTCCCTAGAGCATTACTTGGGTCTCAAGAGTAACAATTCAGCAATAATACCGCTAGACCATCCCCTCCCCTTGCAAGAGAAGCACCAATGTATCTATTGTCTCTACACCTACTTCTTTCAACATTGGGATCTTGAAGATCAGGTCCGGGGATCTGCAGTTCCTACTATCTCCAATTTGTTTATCCTTTTTTTTTTGAACATCAATATAATCCAGGTCCTTGCTCATACTCGATTCTCCATTATTTCCAGGAGACTTTTATAATTTTTTTGACGTGAAGAAAGACACAATGTATTTGTTTATGATGCCTTTGCAATTTCCTTATTCCTCATTGTGAATTCCCCCACCTCTGATTGCAACAGACCCACTTTTATTTTTGCTAATCTTTTCTTTCTCTGTGCTATTTCAGTTGGGTAAGGTAATCCGCACCTTCTTTGTCACTGCAGTCCAAAATAAAATGCTGTATTTTGAAATTTAAAGATCCAGCATAACAGACAGCCACGATGACAGCTAGGGTGCCAAATGTGTAGGGGATAGGATGCCGTGAGGGTGGGGTACCAGGGCTTAAGTTGACATAGGGATCCGATAAGAGAAAGAGTATTTAGGTTGGGTCAGGATGAGTGGGAGATATTGTAGGATTTGCCTGGTTTATTGATCACCAGATCCCTAGTTCTGGTAGTGGGCTTATGTAGTGGAATGTGGTGTGGTGGAAAACACAGGAGTCAGATGCTTCAGAGGCAAAGAAAACTGATTTTATTGAAAAACAAGCAAATTGAATATATTCACAGGAAAACTGGAAAGTGAATATCAAACCTGGCTGTTACTGACTGAGACCTCTCTCACAGTTGACTTGACCCCCAGTTAAGCCTTGCAGCTAAGACTTGATACGATGGGTTCAGTAGTTACAGTGAATAGTTGTTACCTAATGGCTGACAGAGAGAGAAAGAGAAACAGAGAGAGATTACTTGCTAACCCAAAGTCCTACCCCGCTTCCCTTCCTTAGGGATGACCTACACTGTTTGCCCTCAAACCCCACCTTCCCCTACCTTAGACTGGCCAAGCTGGGTTAGAGGGTGTCAATGACCTGAGGCTCATCCCTGGAGCAGAATGCGATTTTGACTTGCTCTTGTCCGTAGTCTCTTGCCATAATTGGGGCTCTGTGGGGGGCTGCGACTACTGATAACCACCAGTCTGGTGGTGTCCTCCAATGCAGTCAGGCGCGTTGCTAATGATGGGTGAGTACCTTGGGTTTTCTTTCCTTTCGTGGTGGCCCTTGTGAGAGGGTTGTTGCCTTGGATAGTGGTGGATGTTGCTGCTGTTGCCCAGGTTAGTGTCTTATGGCTCTGGATGCTTGCGGTCACCTCCAGTCATCGAGTGGATGTTCATGGTTGGTTCATGGTGTTCAGTGGTTGCGAAGGTCGCTCTCGGTGTGGAGGGTTCACAGAGTCCTTGAATCAGAGGCATCTGCAGGATCTTTTCTCTCGATCGGTAAGTCTGATCGATCTCCTTTCCCTTCCTCGTGGCTTTGGCTGAAGGAATCCTTTGCGTGCGGGGCCTGCTTCTTGTTCGGACTCTCAAACTCCTCTTGCGAACTGCTCACACCAGGCGTGCACAGAGCCCACCCCAGAGCAGTTGGAATCGAAATGCATTGCTAGTGTCACAGTGCATACGGCTGGGATCGGGGTGCCCAACAGCAGGCCCTCTTATTTCCTGCCAAATCTGGTTTTGGCTGCCAAGCTATTGTTCCTCCTCCTGGGGCTAAATGAGCTTCCTGATCACTGGATGAGTTGTGAATGGCTTTTCAATTAAGGTGAATGGGTTTCATGGTTTGGAATGTCTTGTATTTCCCTTGGATGGGTATTCATTAAGTTTTGAATAGCAGCGTGAATGTTCTTGCATCCAAAGGTGAAACAGGTTTACATATAGCACAATGCTGAGCCTGAGCACCGGTTGGAAATTGAATGGCCTTCTACCTCTGTAGGCTCCAGAATGTCTGAAGTTGTTTGTTTGCTGCAGTCTGGCTTCCATTATTTTTAGCTGGGGCATGAATGGGGTCTTCCTTTGGTTTCAGTTAGCTAATCCCTGTCCCAGACATCTGCCCTTGGGCTTGTATATTCCCCGGTCTGTCCCAGCCAGCCTTTTCCGGGTTTGGTTGAGGCTCATGGTTTCTTGACTCCAAACGTTCAATGAATTTTAGTCCAATGTAAGTTTCACAAACATACGTCTTCAGATGGCTTTAGTGCATGGTATATCCATAAGCTGATGGGGATTTTTACCCCACCTTACAATATTGATTTTGGCAGGGGGCAGGGGTGGTATCGGATCCATGATTTGGTCGGGGATGGATAGGAGTTTGGGTCTGGAGCAGCAAATAGTGTGTTTGGGTCCTGGGGTGAAAGATGGGACATTAGCTTGAGGTCTATGGGGTATTGAGCTCTAGGGGAGATTTAATTTGGGCTGCATGTGTCAAATTGGGGTGAGTCAATTGAACAGCTACTTGGTAGATGGACTAGGCATTTAATAACCTAACTTTTCCCGAGTAACTATTTATTTAACTGCACCAAAACCTCTCCAAATTCTCCTACTGAAACGGATGTTTTCAGAGGGTTGAATGCATGGAGAAATTGCCCAGTGGAATCGTCAATTTCTCAGCCACTTCCCTCAGAGTCTGTTATGCATGGGATTCTGCAGGGTCCTCATTGTACAAGCCCATCTAAACTTCAGAAACGATTAACCGGACAAAAATCCAAGCCTTCTTTATAATGTATTTGTTAGAGGCAAGGGCAAATCTGTGGAAGTGTATGTGGTATGTTGTAATTTTTTAAGGTATCTGTGATTTTCTTATCATATGGAAATTGTACTCTTTTTCATTTATGAAATAAGATGCAGTATTTTCTGCTGTATATAGTGTTCAGAATAAACTATAGGACAGTGAAAAACATAATTATAATTATTCCTGAATCCCAGAGGGCAGTTAGGAGTCAGCCACATTATTGTGGGTCTGGAGTCACATGTAGGCCACACTAGGTAAGGATGGCAGTTTCCTTCCGTAAAGGATGTTAATGAACCAGATGGGTTTTTCCTGACAACCAGCAATGGATTCATGGTCATCATTAGACTCTTAATTCCAGATATTTATTGAACTTAAAATCCACCTGCCATGGAATTCAAACCCAGGTCCCCAGAACATTACCTGGATTAACAGGTCCAGCAATAATACTGCTCGGCCATTGCGTCCCCTTGCTATATCAAGCCAAGAATAATGTAGTATCATAATGGTTATGTTAGTGGACTAACAACCTAGAGGCCCAGGTTTTGAAATACAGGTTCATATCCCGCCACAGCAGCTGATGAAATTCAAGTTCATAAAGTAAACCTCGTCAGAAATGGTGAAATGAAGCTACTATAAATTATTGTCAAAACCTGTCTGTTTCATGAAGGCCCATATCATATGGAAGGATAAGAAAAAAGGAAAAGAGAAATTGGAACACCAAACAAGAAGTTTATTGGGAATCTATTGCCAGATTTGGAAATACTTTCATTCTCAGTTGAATATGCTTTCTATTGTTTAGGCTATCCCTGCTATTTCTACTCTGCCTTGGTATACAACGATGGTTCCTCTCTCGTTCGTTTTAGGAATAACAGCCGTTAAAGATCTCATTGATGACATTGTGAGTACTTCCCCACCTGTTACTAGCTAACAACTTTAATTTTCATCTGTATAGAGGCTTAACTGTAGTAAAATGTTTCAACTGGGTTTCACAGGAGCTCTTAGACTGTAAGTGATACTGAGACAAAGATAGATACGTTAAGACAGGTCACCAAATACTTAAGTCAAAATAGTAAATTTTAAGCTAACATGCATCCATATGGATTAAGAAAAACAAGACCGGTATAAGGATTAACTAAATTCTGGGTTCATAAACTTGCATGATTTCATTTCTCAATCTTCACCGGTATAGGCTGCATTATCCTTGGCTGGAATGTGACTGAAAGCAATGAATATTATAACTTGGACTTATCTATTACAGCAGTCCTGTGCCATCATGCCACATATTAGGTTCCAGTTTATTGTTAGCTTTTTTAAAAATGATAAACTGGAAACCAATGATTTTGCAGCTGTTATAGCTTTCAATCCATGATGCTCGTTGACACATGCCCAGTATCTGATTGAGGGATAACAAGGTGCAGAGCTAGATGAACACAGCCCGAAACATCAGCCTTCCTGCTCCTATGATGCTGCTTGGCCTGCTGTCCAGCTCTGCACCTTGTTATCTCAGATTTTCCAGCATCTGCAGTTTCTACTATACCTGATTGAGGGACTCTGCCTGGGGAAGGATAGAATCCATTAAAAGCAATCATCTGCCCCTTCCACCATCCTGGTATCCTCCTCTCCCATGACAGCCACCCCGTGACTCCCATCCCATCATCACACACCTATGGGCTTGGCCTCTGCTTTGGATACTGCCAGAACAAGTTGTCCAAACGAGCCAGTCTGGTCTGTAGATCATCCCTATGGACAGATAACTTGGTCAATGATCGTTGTTGTTCTGGCATTGAGCATGGGCCCCACTAGAGCATGGGTTACAGTGTATTGCAACTTGTACATCCTTCTCTTCTGGGCCCAGGTGAATGGAGTTTAATGTGGAGAAATTACATTGCTCATAAGCACAAAAAGACAAAATATTTATTAAATGGTGTGAAACTTGTAAACATTGATTTCCAGACAGACTTGAATGTACAAGTACAAGGAATACAAAAGGTTAGCATGCAGATACAGCAAGCAATTAGGAAATTAGGATTGGTATTCAAGAATAAAGAAATCTTGTAATAATGGTTACAGGGCTTTGGTGACACCAGAGTTGGAATTCAGTGAGCAATTTTGGTCTCCATATTTAAGAGAAGACTTAAAGGAAGCTTTGAAGGGAGATCAGCAAAGATTCACTTAGATTGGCCCTTGGCATGGTGACGTTATCCAATGAGGAACAGCTGAGTAAATTGGCTTTCTATTGTCTGGAATTTAGAAGATGAGGAGTGATCTGATTTGAAATGTACACGTTCTGAAGGAGTTTGAAAAGGTAGATGCTGAGACTTTGTTTTCCTCCCAGGGAATCTAGGAAAAGGGGGAACCAGTATCAGGATAAAGGATTTGAGGTGAGAAAAAACTTAATAATCCAATGCATGTGTTTCTCCAGAATTCTTTATCACAAAAGTTTATGGATGCACCATCATTTAATATATTTAAGGCTGAGACAGATTTTTTAGTCTCTCAGAAAGTTTGGGAAAGGGTGGGAAAATGAAATTGAAGTCCAACGTCAGTCGTGATTGTGTTGTAGCCTCAACTTGCTGAATGGCTTTCCAGATAAGAGAAGTTTAACAAAAAGGACTTATCTCTTCAGACCCCTTCAAGGCTGGGTTCCTTTTTCTGTGAGGCTGAGTTGTTGGGAAAGCCACAATCGCTTGCCCACTCAGGCCTGTTGTGAAAATAGCAATTGGACCCTGATGACTTCATTGGAACATGATCTTCTTATTTAAGGAAAGATTGTCCTGACTTCTGTCAGGGGTCCTTCCCACCCACTCTACACCATAGATGAAAAATGGTCAGCAATTGATAGCTGTCGAACTCTTTATGAATAGTTCGCACCAAACCCTTAAGAACATTGGCAGGGTCTGAAGTGGAAACGTTGTTTGACCAACAATGATTTTGTAACCTCTTCAATGAACCTCTTTAGAGTTGGAATGTATTTCAAACCTTGCTTGAAATGTTTGCTCTGAGCACTTGACGTTTAGATAGAGTTATTGCATGACTCTAGATAGCTTTATACAAAGTTTGATTGTCATTGGAATGCCTTCTAGTTATTGCTAAAGAGGTTATGATTTGTGATTAGCATCCTGAGTGGAGCATGTGCAATTAAAAATGAAAAAAAAACAGATTTTTGTAATGGAAAACCATAATTCTGGAAACGTAGGCATCATTTTTAAACAGAATGTTGGAAATGATTTCAAAAAAGAGAACACGGCATTATGTAAAATACCTTTGGTATACCATATTCTTGTACATAACCTGCTAGGGAAAGAATGTATTTGCAACACCCCACCTATAGAACATAGGATTTAAGATGCATCAGGAGGTGATTTGGGTCAGGTATGTTGTTAGCTGACTATATCAGGACAACAGACTGTGTAGCCTGAATAATCGGAAGCTTCTGCTACCACGTCGGTCTTTTTCGAGGGTCAATTGTGTGCCAGCTAGAGTTTGGCACCCGCTGCAGTAATTCCAACAACACTCCCCCCACACCCCTGACCACAACTCCACACCCCAGCCACAACTCTGCCCTCCCCCCCCCCTCCACCAACAACTCCATTCCACCCCTACAGCTCCCCCCACCACAATTCTGCACCCTCACAACAACTCCATTCCCCCACCACAACACTGCCCCCTCACCATGACTCCCCCATTAAAACTCCACCCCCTCACCACAACTCCGCCCCCCCACCACAACTCCGCATGCCCCCCCATAATTCCATCTCTCCCCCAAAACTCTGTCCCCCCACCACAACTCTGTCCACCCACCACCTGTTTCATGTTGAGATCCTTTGGAATAAGTATTTTGGGTTTACTTTAGCTTTGACATATACAATTTCACACAATGTAACGAGTTCCCTCCACCTTTATTGATTCTAGAACATGACCTTCTCCAATCTCCCCTCGTTGCTTATTTCCTTTACATCTGAGATCATTCTGGTTGCACTTTGTAAACACATTACGGTATCCAGGATAACGTCTCACTTATAATTACATTTACTGAAACACATTTGGAATTCACTGGAATTTATAGAAATGTGTTTAAATTAGATACACTAACCAATGCCAACAATATTTGTAACTTGGCCTGCATGTATATTCATTTAACAGATATATAAAACTTCTGTTGTTTTAATTGATCATTGATAGGTTATTAAATTTGTGATGATTTACAATCAGATGTCATTGGCAAAAAAAGAGTTAAGCTTGCTCAATGTTTGGTCTGTGTATTAGGCACGTCACAAGAGCGACAAAGAGATCAACGATAGACCATGCGATGTTCTTGTTGGGAAAAGGTAAGTAACTAAACTACCAGACAGCTGACACAACGTAGTGAGCATCAGGAGCAAACAGTCAGTACAGCATTGTGTCTTATGTGATACCAACCTCGGCTAAACATTAACATTCACACTTTTGAGTCAGAAGGTTTGAGGCTCCAGGTGTTCCTGGGAAAATAGAGCTTTTTCCTAGTCTGGCACTTCATTGTGATACTGAGACTGTATTGCACTGTTAGAGGTGCTTTCAGATGAGCAATTAAACTGGATTCTTGCTTGCTGTCTCAGGTGAATGTAAAATATCCCATGACATCATTTGATGAAAAGCTGGCAAGTTCTCCTGATGTCCCAGTCTACATTAATACGACCAGTAGCATCAGTAACAACAGATTCTCTGGATGTTTGACTGATTGCTGTTTGTGGGAACTTGTTGTATGTAATTTGGCCACCAAAGCTGTCTTTATTTCAAAAGTGAATATTTTTTAAATTATTTAATTTGTTATGAAGCATTTCGGAATGCCCTAATGAGAGCCACTATGTAAATTGAACTCCTTCGCCTATTTCTTTTATAGCTTCACAACTGCAAAATGGAAAGAACTCCAAGTAGGTGATGTGGTTTGCCTGAGGAAGGATGACTTTGTTCCAGTGAGTTGTCTTTGAAAGATATACATTCTTTATTCTATGGAATGATAGTGCTTAAATATCTCAAACAGTATTCTTGTTTTGGTTCTCCTAGGCTGACCTGTTCTTGCTGTCTAGTTCGGAGCCAAATAGCCTGTGTTATGTTGAAACAGCTGAAATCGATGGGTAAGGTTTCAACATTTGCTGTTATTCCTAGTTCCTTTTCCTGCATTTGTTGTGTTCAGTAATTATGTTCCTCTCCTTCCATTTCTGACGGTGGTCTTGATGAAGGGTACATTCCCAGTGCACAAGTAAATCATTAATAACATTAAATTGTATTCAATTTCTTGACATTTGCCTCTGATTTGCAATGAGTCTGACACTGTCAGGAATCCGTTACCACGTTTGTGAGTCTTCGGTTCAAGTTATGGAGAACCCTGCTCAATATGAATTGCACACTCCCTTTTCTCAGGGACACAACTTATTTATCTAAGTCATGATAACATTTTGGCCAGTATAAGATCAGTTTGCTTATCTTTCTCAACCAGCTATCAGTTTTCTTTCTGTGGTCTGCTGTCTATTAGCTCCAGATCCTATTTGCTTCAAACCTGCTTGCCATTTTTTCTGCCCAACATCACTAGTAATTGCTTTTCCACAATTCTATTGCCTTCTTATTTAAAAAAAATCTGTTGCATAATCATCCCATTTCATTTTTTTTTCACTTCATTTCATGTTTTGAAGTGTGGGGAGTGGCATCTGCTCTTTGCTGAACTCTTCCATTTCTCAGTAAAGATACCCATTGCCTTGATGAACACAGATCTCACCAAAAGAATAAATGCATCCGTGATATTCCCTGTTCAATGCATTTAGGATAAGTTTGCAGATTTTATAATGTCAATGCAGAACTGCTTTGGAAAGGAACATGTCAGGAAATCATGTGCATTGGTCTATGAATGTGATGTGGCTTTTCCCACCGGCAGGGTATTTGTGCCTGATGAGGCCATAATCATGTTAGCTCCTGTAATAATATAAGATCCAAATGTTGGAATGTAGTACTGAAATAGTCAATTGATGTTTATTACAGCTCTTATATATACATATTATAGTCATGGATACTTCAGTATGTGGGCCAATATTAAGCTATTAAGTTACAAACAGAATATTTCCATCAGCATGTCATGCTTCAAATGGCCCAGTTAAGATAGAGATTGAGACCATTTTACCCTTAGGTCACATACTTTGATACAGTGATGATATTATGATCATACCTCTTAAATGTATACTGCATACTAACCATGAGACATAACACAACATGCATCAACATTTCTAATTTACAACACAGTTAAACTGAGAGAACAATATGCAACCCTGTCGTGTGAAGCTCTTTGATTTTGGAACATAGAGATATGGGACATAGGAGTAACAATAGGCCATTTGACTCTTCAAACTACTGTGTCATTCAGTAAGTTCATGGCTGATATGATTGTCTCAATTTCACTTTCCAGTCTGCCCTTTGCCCTTAGCAACCCTTGACTTCCTTGTCTGTTATATATCTATATTTGAATAAATACAAAACACGTCCTCCACCTTTTTCTCAAGAAAAATGTGAGACAGACTAGTGGCCTCCTCATCTCCATGTTAAACCTTGTTCCCTTGTTCTGGTCTTTGTGCCAAGGGGGAGCATCAGCATCTACCTTGTCAAGCCCCCTCAGATCTTTCATGTTTCAATAAGATGGCGATAGTTTGTCACAGTGCAACCAACAATAACTGTTGGATTGCTTTCTGCTGATACTTTTTTAGGTTCAATTTCCCCAGACTTTCCCATTCCATACCCACCCTTTTCACTCGCAAGTTGCCAGTTTTTGCTTGGTAGCTTCTCCAGTAGTGTCACAGGAATTATTGGTGCAGACAGAATGGGCGATAATCATATTGAATGACAGAGCAGCCATGAAGGGCTGAATAGCCTACTCCTGCTCCTATTTTCTATGTTTCTGTGTAATCTAATCTGTGTTGTACTGGGAAGTGGTCCTGTGATTTCATAATATGTCTTAATGAATTATCATGCCATCTCTCCATCTATTTTTATACTCACTTGTTGAACAAAAATACCACTGTAACTATAATGTCTCTTCTGTCATTAAATCCTGCCAATGACAAGACCTTACAACAGCACAAAATTTCTGCCAGTTCACACAGCTTGCTGACACAGATCAAATTCAATGATTTTTATAACAGGAAACAATTTTGCTTTCAGTGAAACCAACCTGAAATACAGACAAGCACTAAGTGTTACACATAATGAAGTGAACACCGTGGACCAACTAGCACAGTTTGATGGTGAGTATTGACTATGGTTGTAGAACCTTCTCAAATTTAAGTTGTTGAACGACTTTCCAAATTAGCAAATTTTTCATGGTCTGCAGGAGAATTGGATTGATGGACTTGAGGAACTTCTATCATTCTATAATTTCCCATTTTATAATCTCTGACCTAACCATAAGCATGGCCTTGTGTTCAAATAATGAACAGATGATGATATGAGATATTCACGTTCTTGGGTGTATTACCCATGACAATGACTTGACCAATTAAAAATGACTTGCCTGGTTTGAATTTAAATGAAAGCTTGTCAGTTAACTGTTCTCTGGAGCACTCTCCATGCTAGTGCCTCTATCAGTCAGCACCCTGGTCTCATGATGTTGTTCCCTTTGAAATTTAATGTTCTTGCAATTGTGTCCTGACGAATGCAAGGTAAAAATCTTCAACAAGAGTCTCATTTGTCAACATTGCTCAAATTTATGTTGCTGTAAACCTAAAGTTCTCTCATGTTTACTTTTTGAACCAAAATATTAAATGGTTGGGAGTTGAATTACAATCTCCATTGGGCTATATGAATTTGCTTGTTTTGCTATCAATACATAAGACATTCTTTGCTGCTCCCCCACTTCATTAACAACCCCACAAGTGCAGAATCGACATCCAACTGTATGGAGTGTCTTGTAGCTTCTGATCCATGCTCTCCATTGCTGCCCCTGTCTCCACCATTAGGTCTTACTCACTTGTGTTGTATAGATTAGAGCATAGAACAGTCCAGCACAGAATAAGGCCCTTCATCCTGCTATGTCCATGTTGACCATGACACCATTTCATTCTAATTCCATCTGCCTGCACATGGTCCATATCCCTCTATTCCCTGCCTGTTAATGTGTCTGTCCAAATGCCTCTTTAACATTGCTATCATGTCTGCTCCTACCAACTCCCCTGGCAGTTCATTCCAGGCCCCTACTATCCTCTGCATTTTAAAAAAAAAAACTTGCCTCACACATCTCTTCTAAGCATTCCCCCTCTCACTCTAAACATATGCCCCTTAGTTTTCGACATTTCCACTCTGGGAAAAAGACTCTGACTATCCATCCTATGCATTGCATCTCATAATTTTATATACTTCTATCAGGTCATCTCTCGGCATCCAAAACTCTAGCGAAAACAATCCAAGTTTGTCCAATCTCTCCTCATGGCTAATACACTTCAAACCAGGCAATATCCCGGTAAATTTGTTTTGCACCCTCCATATCCTTCCAATTGTGTGGTGACCAGAACTGCGAAAAATACTCCAAATATGGCTAACTAAAATTTTATACAGCTACAACATGACTTGCCAACTTTTAAAGTCAATGCCCTGACCGATGAAGGCAAGCATGCTGTATGCCTTCTTTACCATCTTATCCACTTCTGTTGCCACTTTCAGGGAGCTATGGACTTGCAGTCCAATATCCCTCATTTATATCAATGCTCATAAGGGTCCTGCCATTTACTGTATACTTTACTCTTTCATTTGACCTCCTAAAGCATCACCCCACACTTGTCCAGATTAAACTCCATCTGCCATTTCCCCGCCCAACTTTCCAACTGATCTATATCCTGTTGCATCCTTTGACAACCTTTCTCACTATCCACAACTCCAGCAATGTTGTGTTGTCTGCAAACTCACTAATCTGACCACCTACATTTTCATGCAAATTATTTATATATATTACAAACAACAGAGGTCCCAGCACTGATCCTTACGGAACACCACTGGTCACAGACCTCCAGTCAGAAAAACATCCTTCCACAACTACCTTTTATCTTCCATAATCAAGCCAATTTTGTATCCAACTTACGAATTCACCGTGGATCCCATGTACCTTAATCTTCTGGACCAGTCTACCATGAGGCACATTGTCAAATGATTTAGTAATGTCAATGTGAACAACATCCACTGCCCTACCCTCATCAATCATCTTCATCAATTTCTCAAAAAACTCAAATTTGTGAGACAGACCTCCCCCACACAAAGCCATGCTGATTACCCTTCCCTAATCTTATTTGTCTTTCTTCGAAATGAATACTGATACAAAATATTCATTAAGGTCTTCACTCACTTCCTCTGGCTCCAGAGGAATTCCCTGCTTTGTCCTTGAGTGAACCTACCCTTTCCCTGCTTTGTCCTTGAGTGAACCTACCCTTTCCCCAGCTACTGTCTTGCTCCTAATATTTGTTTAAAATGCCTTGAGATTCTCCTTCTTGCCAAGGACATTTCATGGCCCCTTTTTAGCCATTCTAATTCCTTGTTTAAGTCCTTTCCTGCATTTTTTATATTCCTCAAGAGCCTTGTCTGATTTCAGTTTCCTTAACCTTACATGTAACTCCTTTTTTTTTTGACTAAACTTTCAATATCTCTTGTCATACAGCGTTCCCGAATCTTGACATTCATATCTTGCATCCTCAGAGGAACATGCTGGTCCTGAACTTTGACTAACTTGCCTTTAAAAGACTCCTTTATGCCAGATGTGGATTTACCCTCAAACAGCTGCCCACAATCTAATTTCTCCAACTCCTGCCCAATTTAGCACTTTCACCCGAGGACCAAAATTATTCTTACCCATAACGATCTTAAAACTTATGAAATTATGATCCCTGTTGCCAAAATGCTCCCCCACTGAAACTTCAATCACCTGGTCAGGCTGATTCACCCCAATACAACGTTTAGTACGGCTCTTCCCTAGTTGGACTATCTACACATTGTTTCAAGAAGCCCCCCTGGATGTGCCAAACAAATTCTTCCCTATCTAAGCCTCTGACTTAAGGGAGTCCCAGTCAATATTTGGGAAGTTAAAATCACCCAAAGCAACCTGTTGTGTTTACACCTTTCCATGATCTGCTTACAAATTTGTTCCTCTATCTCCTGCTGGCTACTGGGAGGCCTATAATATAACTACACCATAATGAAAGTCCCTTTCTTATTCCTTGGTTCTACCCAAATGGCCTCGCTGGATGAGCTCTCCAAGATGTCCTCTTTTAGTGCAGCTCCTTCATCAGTAACGCAACTTCACCACCCATTTTACATCCCTCTCTATCTGGCCTGAAATATCTTAATCCTGGAACATTGAGCTGCCAATCCTGCCCTTCTCTCAACTAAGTTTCTGTAATGGCTAAAACATTGTAGTTCCATGTACTAATCTAGGCTCTAAGCTCATCTGCTCTAAATGTTTACACTGCTTGCATTAAAATAAATAGATTTCAGACCACCAGTCCCACTGTGTTCGTTAACCTGACCCTGCCTGTTCTTCCAATTACAAAAACAAAGTTGCTGGAAAAGCTCAGCAGGTCTGGCAGCATCTGTGGAGG